AAATAGGCAGGAAAATAAAAGGATAGAAAAAAGTAATAAAGGAAAGAAAAAATTAAGAGAAGCAAAAAAAGAGGAAAAAAAAAAAAAGAAAACATATTAAGCATGAAAAAGAAAAGAATAAAAAATTAGAAAGAAGAGAAAAAAAAAAAAAAAAAAAAAAAATATATATATATATATATATATATATATATATATATATATATATATATATATATATATATATATATATTCTATACAAATAGTATAGATCATACAACCTGATAAATGTAATTAATGGTGTCATTTGCTTTTTCTTTTTCTACGGTTAGACATATTATCAGTATTCTTATATTTATCAAAACTTCCATTTTAATTCCCAAAACATAATTTTTTTTCTCCAACGAAAGCACTAAAGGGGTAGTTTTTTTTATACTTCATCTCCTAGAGGTGCAAAAATGCACCCAAAAAAACCAAGTATCAAATTTTCCTAGAAAATTAGGATCTGCAATTTCATCGTGGAAAGAATAAAGTTTCTACCAAATTCATATAGAATAGGGACCAAATATATCTATTAACTTATGTTTGATACATTTTTAAAAATAAAATAATTTATTTGATTCCTACGGGTTGGAGCATTTAAGTTTTTTCGAAATACCAAAGTATTATTTCAAACATCAATTAAGGGTTTAGATGTCTCATTTTAATACCTACCATTGAAGTTGCAACTATATTATCACTCTTTACGGCATAATGACACTATTATGATTTGTTTTTAAGATACAATTTCTTCATAATCAAAAGTTTATTGTAATGTCATTGTTTGCATAATTTGAATATGTACATATTTTTAATCATTTATAATAGTTAGGATTAGAGTTAACATTAGGATTAGTATTATGATTAGTATTATGTCGGTGATTCGAAGAAATCGGTCGCTAAATTGACTCACTGACGGATATACCAACAGAAAAAATCGGTCGGTATAAACCCCGCCGCTAAATTTTAATGACGCATTTATTCGGTCGGAAATATAGCAACGTAATTCCCGTCAGTAATATGATAAATTTCCGTCGCAAAATTGGATACAAACGTGATCTCTTTTCAGTCGGTAAAGTTCAATTTAGCAACGGAATATTATTGTCAGTATATTCATCGGTAATTTTTACCGACTACTTATGTATTTTGGTCAGTAATTTACCAACGGACATCCCGCTAACAAATTCCATCAGTAATTTTATTGACAAACTGTTTTGTGTCAGTAATCACTTGCTGCCAATGTGGTAATAAAAATTCAGTTCGTCGGTGATCCACCAACTAATTTCAGCAATGAAATTTATTATCCATTCACACTATTTGAATTCATGTATAGACTTGTCAAGCATAAATAATGTAAATATTATAAATCACTAATTATTTGATAAATCATTTCCCAGTATTCACAAAAAGTTCAAAATCAAAATGTAAAACAATATCCATGTACATATGCCATCTCAATAATTTATCCACCATTCTCTAAACAAATCATATTCTAGAACCTTTACACGATGCCTTCAAAATGTCATCATCTCCAAGAGTTTGGAATTTTTCAAGCGCGGTGTCGATTCCCATAATCTGCATCACAAAAACTATAGTAACATTATTCTTACGATTTTAAACGGTCAAAAGGAGTAATCAAATGCAACAACAATCTAATGAATTTTGCTCACCTTCTTAGTTGGTGAACACTTGAACAACAGAGAACCAAATCCTTGAACTTCATCTGAAATTTCAAACAAGAATTCTGTTAAAACAAGAAAACAAGACATTATGCAAATACTAACATAAAATGGAACTAAATCTATACAGTTTCACAAAGTCCCTAATAACCATTGTTTAAAAAGCAACAAACCTTTATCATGGTAAAAATACTACCTGCATGTTTCAATACTACACTAGAAAAAAATAAATAGATGAAATCATACAACAGTTATCATTAAGAAATACAAATTTATGACTTGCACTTATAGAACCAAATAATAATTCTTCAGTACCTTACTATTACTCAAATGTCATATCAAGAACCGAAAGTACTCAAGTACTTTGTGCTTGCGAGCCAAAAGCTTAGCCAATAATATGTCCAATAACTGAAAAAATACATATGAAGTAAGATTTCTAATAGGTAGAGTTTAATAGTAGGAAAAATAACATACATATATAGTTAGAAGTACACACAACTTAGATAACCAAGATCAGCAAATTACCTGATTTGAAGAAATAAATGTATAACTAGTTTGTATGCTGATATTAGAGGCAGAGGCTTCGAAAAATATACCGAGAAAACCTATATTTTAACAAACATTTCTTAAACTCAATTTGAAGAGACCATTCTGATGAGAATAATGGGACTCCATGAATAACTAAAAGACTAAACTAATAAGAAGTCAGAAAGGCAAGCAGCATATGTTACGGATATTTCGTGGAACTTACCGCAAATATACACAAAAACGAAGAGCAAAGAAATTACCTCTAGACTTATTTAAATCACCTGTTCCTGCTCACCATGACCAACTTTTGATACCACTAAAGTTGGGACAAAATCATTTTTTGCATTATCATCATCTTTCAAAACTATTATTATATTGCTTCACACACATAAGCACACTCGTAGATGGCATCAATTATTATTGTTTTCAGAAACTTATATTATATTGTTTTCAAAAAAATTCAAGCAATATTACACTATCAGCCTTAATTTATTATCCTTCGTAAGCATACGTATACACATATAAGGATCTCCGGCATATAGTACAATGAATTCCGATAGTCTGCTACAATATTCAACCCTTATAAAGAAACCTAGGGCAATGAATTCCTTCTAATAACCAAGTCCTTTTTTTCTTTGTTCAATTTAAATATAAGTAAGAAATAAATTTATACTAAATTCTGAAACCCCAACCCAAATATTCAAGCACGTCTTTGAAAATTTAAAAACACAATTAACAAAAAGAAAAGTTTAAATGGATCCGCAGAAAAAAAATATATCTAGAAAGAAATCTCAGAAATCACATTATAACCTAAGCGAATACTACCTATTCATAGTTTCACACCCGTAACTCAGACCTAATTTTGACAATTGCGCACTGTAGAATGAAATTACCCAAGAAGATGCTCTGCAAAAATTACCTACTTGTAGATGGCGACTGAGCGGGCAATAATGTGGTACCACCCCTCTTTCGGTGAGACTTGACGAGATCCAGAACCGTCACGAGATAGAGGGAGTGAGAGCGAGATATAGAGAATAAGAGGGGGGGGTACGGAGAAGACATAAAAAGAAGGGTTAACTGCAAAAAATCCCCTAAACGAACGGAAAAAAGTTGCACGAGCATACCTGAACTTGTTAAATTGTTGCACCGATGATTAAAAAATCCATTTATAGCAAAATTCCTGCCTGAATTGCACACGTGCAACTCACACGTGAAAATGAAGGGGCAATTTCGTCAATTCACAAGACTTTCAGATAAAAGAATAAAAAAAAAGGAGAACAGAAAAAGAAAAAAAAAGAAAAAGGAAGAATAAAAAAAGAAAAAGAAAAAAAGCCCACCCATCTTCTTCGTGTCCCTCTTGCTGCAAAAGAGGGGAAGATTTTTCACACCACCGCCACCACCATCTCTCTTCACCGCCGCCGCACCACCATCTCTCTCCAGCGCCGCCGCACCACCATCTCTCTCCACCGCCGCCGCACCATCTCTCTCCACTGCCGCCGCGCCACCATCTCTCTCCATCGCCGCCGCACCACCATCTCTCTCCACCGCCGCCGCACCACCATCTGAAATTATCATATAAAATTACTAAAAATTCAAAATGAAAAATCCCTAATCTCCAATGAATTCATATCGAAAATTCATAATAATTTGGTCACAGCTTTCAAGTGTAGAAATTCTTCCCCTTTTTCGTAGTGATTTCGGGAAAAACACACACACACACACACACACACACGCATAAATGCTAAATCCCAAATGAAAACAGAAACCCCACTAAATAGGATACAGAAAAGAAAAAAATTCAATTAAAAAAATAAAGAAATTAAGGCGAGAAGTCTGACCTGGTGAAAACCGAGTTCCTTAGTGAGTGGGACACCGAGTTCAGCCATACAAGCCTGCATTCTATCATCGGAGCCGTACAAACCAGGGTACCTCTGAATGCATTTTCTCGAGAATAAGTTTCCGGCCGTCGGTTCGGCAAGGCGGACGGTTTGTGGGTGGCGATTGGAGAATAAGTCCTCGCCGCCGCAGGCGGCGGCGGCCGTGTGGGAGGTGGAAACCAGCTTCAATGCGTACACAACATACGTGGCGGAAACGAACAGAATCAGCCACACCATTAGCTTGGGCAGAGCTTTACCTTGTGAAGAAGCTGCCCCACCACCGATGTACTCCTCATCGAATCCCAGATGAATTTTTCCGGGTTATTTTGACCCGCTTTCATTTTTTTTCCTTTACCCCCAAAAAACAAAATTCAATTTTTCTTTTTATTCTTTTATCTGAAAGTCTTGTGAATTGACGAAATTGCCCCTTCATTTTCACGTGTGAGTTGCACGTGTGCAATTCAGGCAGGAATTTTGCTATAAATGGATTTTTTAATCATCGGTGCAACAATTTAACAAGTTCAGGTATGCTCGTGCAACTTTTTTCCGTTCAGGGGGTAAAGCGCAAAAACGTCCAAAGTTTAGGGGATTTTTCGCAGTTAACTCTAAAAAGAATTAGTGTAGAGGGAATGAAAATAACTGCAAGGAATTATAGGGGGGTGTTATTGAAATTTGTTATTTTACATTTAATAAATATATTGCGTATTTACTAACTTTTATAATATTAGATAGGGGTGGTTTCGGTACGGTTACCGAACATTTTGTTCAATACCGTGTACCTACCGTATCTTTCGGTATAGAAAAATTCTATACCGTTACCGTACCAACAATTGCGGTATACCGTTATTCGGTATACCGTTAGTTTCGGTACGGTATGATCGGTACGTGGTAATCTACCGTACATCATTTTTTGATGAACTTGGATGATACCATAATTAAGATGAATACTAAATAAATGCATAAATACAAAAAAATAAGCAAATGAATGTGGTAATCAAGCAATCTACATGAATATACATTATACGACCGTAGTAGCATATGTTGTTTTTATTAACTAATGCTTACTAAGATATCTATAGAAAAATTGTAGAAACTTATAATGAGCAAAAAAGTTTCATGGTTTAAGTGAGAGAAATAAAAAAAATTGCAATAATGCAAATGAATCAAAAGGCTAGGAACTCGGGGGGAAAAGAAAGGGAGAAGAAAATTATGGCAAAAAGTACTCCACCAATAAAAGATTAATTGGACTTTGAAACTAAAGAAGTACGTGACATAAACAAAGCTTTAACGAGAGCTAAATATTGAGTTTGCATGAATATATGAAGATAATAAAAAAATTATCATTATGTAAAATAATATATATAGGATGTATCATATCGTTATTCTTTTGTTTTTTATTTTTTTTATAATATTTGTTGACTATATTTTTTTTATTTAACAATATAGAAGGAAAAATATATTAACTAATTTTAAAAATACAAAGTTGCGGTACGGTACGGTATTACTATGGTATTGAAGATACAATACCGCTACCGTACCGTAAGACAATGGTACGGTACCGATACCGTACCAAATGTAGTGGTAACCGATAGTTCGGTATTTATTCGGTAATTTGTGGTAGGTATACCGTGGTAATCGGTATTTGATAATTTTTGCCGAGCCCTAATATTAGAAATACAAAAGTATACACATTCAGCTCTTTAAGAATTATTTAATCAAATTCGTCATACAATTAGTGACAAATTAAAAACAAAAATAAATTTGTCGCAAAATAGAGTGATAAATTACCGACGAATTGAAAGTTGTCGCAAATCAGTGACGTAGTTCCGACGAAAAGGTTATTCGTCCCAAATGTAGTGACAAATTTCCGACGTAAATGAAATTCGTCGCCAATTAGTGACGCAGTTCCGACAAAAAATATATCCATCGAAGAAACAGCGACGATTGTCCGACGAAAATGATATTCGTCACAAAAATAGTGACTATTTATCGATTCAATGTGATTGCGTCGCAAAATTAGCATCTGATTAGTAACGTCTTTTGATTGCGTTGCAACATCAGTGACGATTTAGCAATGAAACGTAAATGCGTCGCTAATCAGCGACTAGTCTCCAACCAAATCAGAATCCCTCGCAAATAAATTGTAATCTGTCACAAATTGGTCGATAATTTGTCAATAAATAGCGACAACTTATTTGGTCGCTGAATGTTCGTCGGTGAAGCCCTGTTTTCTTGTAGTGGTAATGGCATGAGCAATAGTAATAGTAATAGTAATATAAGATAAGCCATGATTAATTAAATAGTTGGACTTAATTTGATGTTTGGTATTCTCAATAAATTCCCGGGTCGACCCGCCAAAATTATATAATCATGGTTTATCTTGCCTTATCTTGGCTTATCTTGCCTTCTAATGAGTTTTTTTTTGTTGGACGTTTCAAGCTCCAACAAAATAATTAGGTCTCATTAGATTATTTTATCTTATCTTGGCTAATCTTATCTTGCCAACCAAACGGGGCCTTAGTATTAGTATTAATATTAGTATTAGTATTAGTATTAGTATTAGTATTAGTATTAGTATTAGTATTAGTATTAGCTATTAGTATTAGCATTAAATATTAGTATTAGAATTAGTCTTAATATTAATATTAGTATTATTATTATTATTAGTATTATTATTAGTATTAGTATTAGTATTAGTATTAGTGTAAGCTATTAGGCACCGTTTGGTTGGCAAGATAAGATTAGCCAATATAAGATTAAATAACCTAATGAAACCCAACTATTTTATTGGAGCTTGAAACGTCCAACAAAAAAAAAAAAACTCATTATAAGACAAGATAACCCAAGATAAGGCAAGATAAGCCATGATTATATAATTTTGGTGGGTCGACCCGACAATTTATTGAGGATACCAAACATCAAACTAAGTCCAACTATTTAGTTTCATGGCTTATCTTGGCTACCAAACGGGGCCTTAATATTAGTATTAGTATTAGTATTAGTATTAGTATTAGTATTAGTATTAGTATTAGTATTAGTATTAGTATTAGTATTAGTATTAGTATTAGTATTAGTATTAGTATTAGTATTAGTATTAGTATTAGTATTAGTATTAGTATTAGTATTAGTATTAATATTAGTATTAATATTAGTATTAAAATTAGTATTAGTATTAGGATTAAAATTAGTATTAGTTAGTCATAGTGTCAGTAATAGTAGTGTTAGTGTTAGTATTAGAGTTGGTGTTAGTGTTACTATTTGTGTTAGGATTATAATTAATATTAGTATATGATTAGTATTAAGTTTAGTATTATAATTAACATTAGCATTAGGATTACGATTACGGTTATGACTAGAATAAGGATCAAAATTAGCATTAGGATTAGGATTAACACTAGCATTAATATCTTCATTAGCATATTTGGATTATTATTATTATCATTGTGATTAGTAGTAGTATTACAATTAACATCAGAATATTAGCATTAACATATTAGGATCTGTTAGAGTAGGTGACCAACAAGCCAACATGTGGCTGTGGTCTTTCGTATTTATTATGGTAATAAACGAACCTTTATTCGTATTAATGATAAAAGACCTTGGCATTCTATATCTTTGTCCCTTTGTCACAAGCATAGATATAGTCCTTACAGTTATTACAAGTACTAGTAATTGATCGTTAGGATCGTGAGATATTTGCTTAAGTATTATAACTGTTAAACGTGTTCCTAGTCGAAGGGTTACGCCACCAATGAGGATATCGGCCTTTCCCATTAGAGACTAGCACTTAGTGTATGTGTACTGCATCTCATCAGTAAACGGTATTGTGATATCGGCATGCATAAGTGGGTGCTCGTAAGTTGACGAGTTCACTGAACTCCCTCACCCTAGAAATCTCTAAGTGGTTCCCAATAATCGAGTAGAGATATCTATGGTATAGTTGTACACCATTAGTCCTTATGACCTAGACATCACCGTGACTTCACTAGAGGACCAGCTGTATCGTGACCTGTCCCTGAGTTCCACCGAGGACCATCCCAAGGGCCAGTGTTCGTGCAGTCCGAAATCTAGTGGGAGGTCTGTGCATTGTAGTCGGGGATTCGATCGCTAGAATAGTCTTGGATGTCCTGTGTGTTCTGATAGTTTGTAATCATTCTAAGTCTCTGGCCAGAGCTGACTAAGTGATGATTAGAGAATTCGATTCTCTAAGTCATGCACGTGACGATTACAACACTTGGAACGATCGCACCGTCATCGAACATATAAAGAGGTCTCGATGAACCAATGCCTCTAGTTCGATCGGGACATATGAATCGAAGGGACCGTACTGTACGTTAACTATATCTGAAGGTTCTTGCAGGCACTTCATTTGTATCTAGGGAATCATGACGCGTAGTTGCTAGACGCCAATCTTGATTCGTTGGGTGATTAAGGTGAAATGAGTTTCATCTTAATCGTAACTCTAAGGGGACGAGTTTTGACCACAAAGGGTTGTGGACCCACGGCTAGCTTACACCTGAACCATCGAGGGTCACACTGCTCGTGCACATGAGATCTTTGAATAAACGGTCAAAGGTAAAATATGTTTATCTTTGCATGATTGGAAGTCAATATGATTGGGTCCAACATTCGTAATTTGGAATTATGAATGAGAATAAGAAAAGGAAAAGAATAGGCGAACGTATTAGTGAACCTTCTAAATCGGGAAGTTTCCAAATTTAGAAAGTGCACTGAATTAGGGTTTCCACTTTTGGAAAGTTGGAAATCGAGAGTTGGCACTCGTAATGACGAGGACATTATAATGATTCCGAAAATGGAAAATGTAATCGTTACAGTTTTCCGATCATCGAATTGAGAGAGATGAGCAAGTAAGAGAACTAACGAACTTAAGCTGTTGGGCCCGGTCCAACTTAAGCCCGTTAGGGTTTTATGCAAGACATATAAATACTTGATTTATAGGTCTTGCACACACACAACTAAGAGAACACACGTTCATAACCCTAGCCGCTGCCTCTCTCGATCAGCCACCCTCTCCCACGGCCACCACCACCGCGTCGTCGCCGGAAATTCGTCGGAATCAGCCACCCGTTGGCCGATCTCTTTCGGTATTCCTTTCCTTCTTTCTTTTCTTCCGTTATTCTGACTATTACGTGTCTAGTGCCACGTGTTTAGTAGATCGAAGTATACGAGGTGAAATCCAAGAGGAGGGAGATCGAAGAATCGAAGATGCGAGAAGGCAATTCCGAAAAACTGCTCTCGGATTTTCTGCGCTGCCCAGCGAGAAAATTCACCATAAATCAACCGATCATCCGATGGACGTGAAATTTTGACAGCATCTTCACGACTCAAAAATCTACCATCGTCTAGAAGAAATTGTTCATCCAGGAAATACGCATGGAGATACTGAAGTCGGAGCAAGGCTGTAATTTCAGATCAGCAAACAGGTTGGATCAATAGGAGTGGGAAGAGCAGCTAGCCATCTTCTCTGCGCGTGAATCACATGCGCTGCCGTAGCTCGGATCATCGCCGTTGCTGCCCCGGATTACACGGATTGGTTTCCGTGGGAATCTAGCTTTGCTTAGTGCGCCTACCTCACGCTTCAAGA